TCCCTCCCTCTACCTCCCACACTGTGGGCTTCCCATGGGCAGTGTCCAGAGGCTCCTGGAGGACCCTGGCCAAGCGGGGCCTTGGAGATCTAATACCCCCTTACAGAGACAACATACTCTCAGGCACATAGCAGAACACCCAAGGGTGCCCACTGCCCTGGGCACACCTAATAATGGGGCAAACACAGCAGGTCCCCACCCCTCAGAGTGACCAACCTTAAACCTGCTACAGCATAAATTTGTTTCGAGTAACTTTCCAGTTGGAGGGAGTTAATGGACATTTTAAATTAAGAAACAGCTTCCTTAGCGTGCCAACAGGCAAACAGCAGGCAACAAATGCTCTGTGTGTTAAATGTGGAACTGAGCCATTTCCCATTGTTTAGCCTGTATATCTGGGCTTAGAGGAGAACTGGAGTGGGTAGGGTGGCACAGAGGAGCAGAGCCTGCTGGGAACTCTGTGATTTGAGTGCTGAGCTTCCCAGTATAAGGCTTTCAGCCCCTTCCAAAGCTGGGAGAGATGCCTGCTGAGGCAGGAAGGGGCCCCTTGGGTCCTTCTTCCCCCTGCCCCCGTGGTCCATGGCCCTGGGCTGCGGCATTTCCCTCTCAGAAGGGAGAGCATACCCTGCCAGCAGTGTTCTCAGAGGTCTGCTTGAAGTAGGGAAGGGGTGGAGGTGGTGCTCTGAGTGACATAAGGTGCCTCCATGGGGAGCAACCACACAGGGACTTAGCTCTAGGGGCTTATGGCTCCTCTCAACCCTTTTAAAGAGCAGATGATCCCACCAAACTGCTGTCAAGCACCAGAATCCCCAACCCAGGATGGCAGACATCCCCCCCACTCCCTGCTGTCCCCACACCCCCTGCTGCTGAGACTGCCGCCACAGAAGCTAGAGAAGCTTCCACCCTACAGCTGGGGGCAGAGGTGGGTAAGAGCAGGCCGGCAGAGCGGCACAAAGGCCCCTTCTTGAGGACTGAGGATGCAGTCCAGGGCATGCTGCATGCAATCCCGTCCCTGCCGGCATTCACAAAGCCACCACCAGACTCACCAGATTCACTCCCACCTCAACTTTGGAGTGCGCCAATCATCACTTGGCTCATTCTTTCAAATCTCAACTCCTAAGACAGGCCTTCCCTAACCATCTGATCCAGCAGCTGGAGTTGAGGTTGTGATGTAGGAAGAGACTTTGTGTTAAGTGTGTCCGTGATAGCTCTGGGAAACCACACCTGGCGTTCACCTTGTTCTTTGGCCAAAAGCATTTAAAGAGCAGGAAGAACCAAGACAGTGAGAATACCTCATGAATAGGACCTCAGAGTCCCACCGGCACCTGGCTGACCGGGGCTGCCCTTACTAGGGCTTCCAGATTGAGAAAGATGGATTCCCAGTTAAATTTGAATTTAATTTTTTTTTTTTTGGCATAAGCATGCCTCACTTCATGTAACATACTAAAAATGTGTTCATCATTTATTTGAAATTCAAATGTAGCTGGGTATCCTGTATTTACCTGGCAAGCCTACCTGGCTCCTGTTTGGGAAAGACTGGCCATTCTGGCCCCTCCCAGCAAAGCTTCCCCATCCCCAACCGCTGAAACAGCTAGAGAACTCCTCAGCACGTGCTGCAGACAGAGGCCTTAACCTTGGGCTGCAGAGAATACAAAAGGCATGGGAGACCGGGCTCCCCAGGCCTAAGGTTCTGCAAAATGCACCCAGAATTCATTCGCTCTCTATAAGAATTCTTATCAAGTCCCTTCAGTTTGCCAGGTGCTGGGTGATGCTGGGAATGTATCCATGAACATGACAGGCACAGCCCTTTCTCTCAGACCGTAGTGCGTAGAAAAGGTGCTTACCCCAGATATGAGGGTCAAGGAAGGCTTCTGGGGCCTGGGACATCAACTCGGAGAGCTACAGGACAAGCAGGGGTTAACGTGGCAAAGGGACAGCAGGGAGAGGGCAAGAAGGTCCTGGCCAAAGACACAGCTAGAGGGACTAGAGCATTCTGCAGGAAAGAGGAGGTGGCCTAACTGGTTCCCCCTCAGGGCTCCTGGGCCACTGCCGGGATCAACATGCCTGAACCAAAGCCTGCACCAGCTCTGGGAGGTAAGCCTTGCCTTAGGATGGCAAATAACTGAAAGACACATACCCTGACCAGTATACAGAGGTGGGAGCGGCCTGCTGCTGGGGGTGGCACCTTCAGGCCCACTCCCTGAGGAGCTTGCTCCAACTTCCTTGAAAAGAAAACTAGTCTGAGTCTGAAAGCACATGGCTACTTTGATGAGCTTAAAACGGAACTATAATCACTTGGAGAAAAACCTATCTTGCAGCTTCGGGGCGGCAGCCCCAGCGGGAGCAGCCAGAGCGTCCAGCGGAGCAGCAGCAATGGGGAAGGAGTGGCAGCGAGGCAGGGGACTGGCCACTGATGAAGAGAGTGAGTCACCTGGGACCTCCAGAATTCCAGGGGATTGGGCTGAGGGACGTCACAGGCGGTGGGGCCCAGGCTGACCCCCAAGGTGGTCCAGTCTGGGAAAGCAGGATTCAAGACAGACAAGAACAAAACCCGCTCACAAACCAACGTAACCCTGCAGGATGGACAGAGAAGCGGTGACAGTCAGGAGAGTCAGGCCAGCTTTCACCTCTGCCGGGCTCTGAGGGACAGGACGTGGGTTGGATAGGCAGTGGGGACCGGCCTGGTGCACGAGGTGGCATGATGGCACCGGGTGCCCGAGGTGGGAGGCGATGGAAGGGGTGGGCTTTCCAACCTCTCTTGGTGTTTGTGTGCAGCCCCCTGGGGGAGGGAGGGATCAGCAGGACGTGTTTCCCCTTCGCCTGCCCTCCCTTCTTCCCTCCCTCTCTCCCTTCATTTTTCCTTCCTCCCTCCCTTCCTCCCTTCCTTCTTTCCCTTCTACTCCTTCTTTTCCTTTCTTTCAGCAAAGGTTTATTGGGCACCAACTTGTGTCAGGCACTGTTCCGGGCCCTGGAGAAATAGTAATCGATAAAACAGAAGGTTCTGCTTCTATGTGACTTATGTGAAGTGGGGGCATCAGATAATTGAAAAGGAAACTAACAACACATATACACACGTACGTGTAAATGTACACCGACACACAGACCTAATTGTGTGTAGCAACAAGTGTTATGAAGAAAATAAAGCAGGGGAAGGGCTGGAGTGTCACAGGACAAAGACTCTGAGGAGACAGGGGTAGAGGTGCAGGCCCTATGAAGATGTAAGGGAAGGTAAGTCCAACAGATGGAAGAGGGAGGAAGGGCAAAGGCCCTGAGGCAAGAATGTGCATGGTCATCTCCATCCTGCCCTACCCTCTAACACTATCTTCCCCAACAGAGGAGAAACTGTATACAGAGTAGAAAACAGCAACGTAAACAGGTTCTCAGGGAGAGCAGAGGGTGAAGGTGTAAGGTGTGTAGCGGGGACCCCGCAGCAATTCCCGGGGTGTCTAAGAAGTGTCCATAGGCTCATAGTTGTAGTTGTATCTGATTACTGGTCATGTCCTTCACTCAATGGAGAATCTGGACATAGGGTCACAGTCAGTGAGGCACCGCCAAGCCCCCCTTGTCCAGGCTGGCCTGAGCAGGAGGCATGGGAGCCCAGCCCCAAGACCTCACTCCCCTGGGCCAGCCCTCCCCTTCAGGAAGAACACATGAAGAGGTGCGTGTCCCAGTGGTGTCTTCGGTCCCCACCTCCCTGCTGTTCTCTGTGAGTAGGCCAGTCTGTCAGTCAATCAACAAACACTGAAGCCCTGCTATGTGAGTGCTAGGGGCGTTCGTTGTGGAGAGCAAGAAAGACCCCAAGGAGCAAGTGTGTGAGCCTGGGGGTGAAGGGTGGCCGGAGCCTTGGGTGTTGCCAGCAGAGGCGTGGGGAGGGAGGGGATATGAGGCTGATAATGATAGCCACCTCATCAACTCCACAAACCAGCCATAAACTGCAGACCCAGGACTCTTGCACTTTGTTCCAAGCCCTCGAAAGCTCTGAGTTCTCATCTTGACTCTGAAAGCCATGCTGACTCTGGATCCATCCCCCCTGGTTCTCGGCCAAGCCTCTCATGACAGGAGAGCAGCAAGGGAGTGGGGGCCGCTCTGAGCTCAAAGTGCAGGATGACCAAGCCATGGCCCAGAAGATGCCCCAGTGTGACCTGGGCGGAGGCTCAGGCAGTGTTCCCCAGTGGTGGCTTTATGGCCGCCCTCTCCAAGTCAGACGTCAGCTGAACACAGAAGAGCCAAAAAGGGGGGCACTCATATAAGGCACTGTCTCTGATGAGTGCACAAAGGCTGGTGACTCTTCCAAGGTTATAACAAGTTAGCAGCACACCTGTCCTAAGTCAAAGGCTTCACTTAACCCTGGCTCCACCCCTCCCACCTCCGTCCTGTACACTCCTCTTGGCCTTGGCTATCACCTCCTACCTGGAGTGCTCCTATCAGGCCAACTGGTCCTTGTCAAGAGCAGATTAGATTCGAAGGCACCTCGACCTTGGCTCAGGACCTCCCTTACCCAAGAAGCCATGTTCCTTTGATTCCTCCCACCCAGTGGGAGACCCTAACAAGTGGGCTGCTACCAGGGAGAATCATACCCCCCAGCTGGTCCCCCAGT